TTGTGGAACTCGAGATATCTCGAGATTTAGCCCAAAAAATGATGTTTTTCGCTGTTTTCGAGCCTTGTTTATGAAAGGGCCGATCGTTTTATTGATGTTTCTAGTTCAGTTTTTTACCAGAAATCCGAATATACCACTCCTAATTTTCTGCTCCTAGTGGAACTTGAGATATTTTGAGATTTTGCCCAAAAAATGATGTTTTTCGCCTGTTTTGACCCTTGTTTGTTACTCAGACTCAATTTCGATTATGATTTCTTCTTCAATTTTTCACAAGGAATCTGAATATGTCATCCATTTTTTGGTATCTTCTTGCGATTTTTTTCATAGGGGCGCAAACTGCATAGAACGACCTCGTATCGTCGAATGGTTGTCATTTTTGAAATCAGCAGGTCCCAATTAGTCGAAAACCGTTCTTAAATATTTTTTTCCCACTTTTCGCCTTTTCGTCCCACTGTGCGACATTTTCGAGAGACAGGCCATTTCGAAAGTGAACCCCATCAATCTCGCCATGTACACTGATTGCTGGTATATCAGCATATAATGTATGCTGTTGAGTTTCCAGAGTGCACAGACCTCAATTCAAGGCAAACACAAGTGAAGTAGATTGCTGTACTTGAAACATGAACACGCTTTTTTGCCTGTGTGAATTTTCAAACTATGTTTAAAAGTATGGGCAGTTGTTTTATATTATTGGTACACAGTTAAAAATTAACTTTACAAGAGTATTCCTGTAATCTGGTACAGAAATATTATGGTAATTTTACAGAGTATGGTAAATTTATTACATGTTTTCTGTAAATTTACAAGTTTGGTAATTTTACAGAAAAGTATTAGTCGAAACCCTGTAATTTTCCCCATAATGTGTGGTAATTTTACAAATGGCTGTAATAGTACGACATATCTTCTGAAATATTACAGATAACAAGGAGAATCACCAGAGCCTGTACAATTCACTTCCAGTAAATTTCTGTAAAAACACTGAATTGATCTATGTAACAGTCTATCTGCATAACGGAGTTGTCTCCTGCTGTAAAATTCAGGTCTTGGCACGAGATTTCGTCTGGAGAACTGCTTTGGGGGCAGATTGACATAGAATTCAGCCAAAGTGACAAGAAGAGCCAAAAACTCTTTCGGGCTGCGTTGCGCCGTGCACCAACTCTTCGCACTATTGACCTTTCGGACAACTACTCAGGATTATCGGAGGTAAGGAACCTTTATCACAGTTTACGTCCACACATTGTGAAATACTTGCAAGCTTTTTTTTTTCTGCAATGTTGCGAAGAATTTTCGATGTTTTTACTGCAAAGCTGTCAGATTCATTTGCACTCTAAACGTAAAGGAACTTTTTCCTGTACCTTAAACTAGCAACAAAATGTTTGTCTATAGCCGCAGACAAGAGATCTATGGACAAAAACGTGTCATTTTAAAGACAAATTGTGTCAGTGGAAGGGACAAAATGTTCCTTG